CCTTGGCCCCAATCTTCTCACATGGACTGCCAAGAAACAGTATACTGTTTCTCGCTCTAGTACTGAAGCTGAATATAGAGCTCTTGCACATACTGCAGCCGAACTTCGCTGGTTTGGTTACTTGTTTCGTGAACTGGGCATTCCCCTTCGCTCTGCCCCCTGCATCTATGTTGACAATCTCTCTGCTCTCTATATGGCTGCCAACCCTATTTTTCATGCTCGCACCCGGCATATCGAGATCGACTACCACTTTGTTCGTGAATTAGTTGCTCGAAAGGCTCTTCGTACCTCCTATGTTCCTTCCTCTCATCAGCTTGCTGACATATTTACTAAAGGTCTCGGTCGTAATCGGTTTTCACTTCTAAAATCCAAGCTTAATCTCCGCGTTGCTCCGCTACGCTTGAGGGAGGGTAAAGAGAATATCACTCCGGTTCATCCCAGGGAATCAACTGATTTCCCTAAATCAGACTTGACAGATTCTTCCCCCCAAGATCAACGACATATTAGCTAGAATTGATTCATAACATATATGAGATTATTGTACTTACCATGTATTGCTTCTTTCTGTAAATAGACTTGAGAAAGTCTACTCTCTGTACATTATATACGGCTGCAATACAGAAACCAAATCACTCTGGTTGATTCAATTACTCTCCTCCTCTATCTCTCATCTCCCCTCTCCCCCTGAACTCTGTTTCTTATAGCCAACATGATTAGAGCTTTTGTCCTTTGGAGATATAGTGCACTGACTTTGAAGAGCTCCTCCCAAAAGCTCAAGCCATTAATAATTCAATGTTGTATATTTGTGGCAAAGATGTTGCCTTCAAATATTCTATCAATCTGTGAAGAGTACGTCGCAGAAAGGTTTGATTTCTTGCTAAACATTCTATCTTATGTCACTTCATACGCCAAGAAGAATGTTATTATTTTTACTTTCCTTTTGGCAGCATAGCTACTAGAATGTTTGATTGAGCAGAGTCCATTTGCAGTCATCAGCGCAGGAATTACTGATTTGACTTCCATTTTAAACAAACAAGTAGTTGATGACGGC